TACTATTATTGTTCATGATCATTACTCAGCGAACAAATTATGTACCACAAACGCGTATTTTTAAAGTCTCACTGGAACGGTTTATTTCTAGTCTAACGCTGTTTCATCTAGCCTAAGACTGGTTTTAATATTTGCAATGCGGCACGAGCTGACTGGCACGTTTCGATCGTAATTCTCCAGCAGGACTCCAGTAAATCCGAACTCTCGTTCAGTTTGAACGCAGCACGGCCTATTCGTTTCCGTGTTAAATCCGGAGTTGACAAGATTAAACCGCGAGCCGCGTGTGCAGCGAGCCTAAGTACTTGTTGCCAAGTTTGTAGCGCGTAAACACCTGTAACCGGTACGGCGATAGTATAGAAAAATAACGCGGTAACGATATTCAAATTATTTCCAAACGAAATTCAGATACTCCTTTTAAATATTGCTTCAAAAATAATTTTATCATTATTAATGTATATAAATATGATTAATACATTATTTAATACAATGTTTCATATAATGATTCATACAAAATTTAATATTATGAGAGTGATATAGTAATACTTCTATCATATTGCGATAAGGTTTAAAGAACATTAAATGAATACAACGCGAGTTCGTCGATATTTATTAGTTCGCGCTCGATCGAAGGGTTTTTGGCACGCTTTGACGTATGTAGAGTTGCCACGTGGTTCGCGAATTCGATGAGCAGTCAGAGTTGCACAAAATATAATCACAGATTGAAAAGATTTCGAGAAAAAAGCTGTCAAACATTCGGTTCTGACTGAAACTGTTACGGAGAACTGAAAAAATGTTATAACTATCATTAGGTAGATCGGTTCTGACTTATATGGGTTACGGTTTCGGTTCTTTAGTATCGGTATTTTACCGATTCTATAACTGTTATTTTTCTTCGGTTCCTCGTTTCGATTACAGTTCTTTTAAGTAATAAGTATATATGTTCCTTAGTGATTGAGAAGTTCATGTATAAAGCCATGTAATATCTAATACAGTTATGGCAGTTTGTCGGTTCTTGATAACTGTTTCAAGAATCGAAATCGATAGTATAATTGTTTTCAACCTTTGGGTACACTCAATAGCGTATTTTTCTATAATTGTATATTACCTTAGAATTATAAAAATAAGCTAGTGAATAGATATAGGGACGTGAAGAGAAATTAAGACGTTTATCTTATTGAAATAAGTCATAATGAATTAGTACATGTCACAATTTTCCTAAATTTACAGTCGTAACTCAGTAAACAACTATATCATACGTATGTCATAGGATTAGATAAAACGTCAATGATGTATTATAGATATTACTTTCTACGTAAATAATATCTGCATAAATTCTTGTATTTTCCATACTGCGGGATAATAAAACAGCTATTTATTGTCCTTCCGTTTAATTTGTTGCCGTAGCCAAATATCAGTTCGTTTTCAGATAAGTTAACATATTGTGAACTTTGTATGTGTCTAGAATTCCTAATACTGCATACGTAGAACTTTATTTTTGTATGCTTTTTGCGAACTTGTTATGCTCATCAATTGTCGATTATGTGTTCACGTATTTCCTTAAAGTTTCTGCGTACTTGGCGAAATGTTTAACACTTTTTTCAAGTATTATTGTGTGGAACCGTGTTTGCATTCGATTACGTAAAAATGAACAGACGATAATAATTAAACGTCAACAAGTTCGCTATTTCATTTCTAGACTATTATTTTGTAAAACAGTTTTGTTCATAGTAACTATCGCTATTTCATTTCTAAACTTTGTCCCTGCCACTCAGTTTCTTCTATTAAACTTCGGGTTTATGGATTTTAATGAATTTATAGAAAAGTTATATCGGTGGAAAATAAAGAAAATGCAGTAATACACAAGGCTATATGGAACGTCCATAATGAAATGTCTATTAACGTTTTTAAAAGATAAAAGAAATTTCTATCTGCATTTCATTTTGAAAAATGAACATCGTTTTATCTTGCATACAAAACAGCAATCTAGTAACTATTCGTTCTGTAATTTCACTTCTTTGTTTTCTCCTTACGGACAATAAATGAAAAGATAAGAATTGAAAAATCGAAGCACATGGAAATGGAGAACATGGCAACACGGATGAAATCGTTTTATCGAGACAATTTTCATTGGGAAGCTAAATCGATTAGTCGATCGGTCTCTGTATGCTAGCATAATTGTCGAGGCCGATTAACAACTTAAAATTGATCAATTAAAAATGAATCTCCCGTTACGTGAGTCTCGAATCTACGAGCTACTACGGTATTACGAAACGTGCAGAGCCGCGTCGATAATCACGATGCATACACTCACGTTCATAAGTCACCGTTAACAGAAAGTATCAGTATAACTTAAACGTATAATAATTGTTACACATATACAAATATTGTATTAGTCATTATATGAAACATTCTAGTGAACAGAAACTGGGGCCTCAATTCGTATATTTTGTGCAACAATAATATGCTCAGTTCAAGAATCAGAAACAATTTTCACATGCTTGTATTTAATTACATAATACAACGCAATATGAAATAATTACAAAAAATGCAAATGCATGAAAATATGCAATCCGGTCACATTGTAAGGATTGTTTAAACCTCGTCCGAGTGGAATATAAGGATTGTTTGAGCCTTGCCTAAACGGAATCATATTGTAAATGAATTTTACTGCAGTATCTGACGTAAAAACAAAAAAGGTTGTTGGAGCACGTGGCAAGTTGGTGCGTGTCGCGTAACGGCAGCAGTGGCAGAGCACGGGCCGAATCTATTCGGTACTTAGTACGTAGTTGTAGAGATCGGCTGGCCGGCCGATTACGTAACGATAGATTTATATAAATGGTTACGTTGACACTAAAGCCCCGGCCGTAGCTGCGTCGGCCATCGTTATATTATCTAACGTGGAGCACCGCACGGCGCGGTGCTACCTCAGCCCGTTCCGATCCGCCGCAGGCGTCGCTCCTCTGCCCGAGGGAATCGCCAATCGAATCCTTAAACTCTTTTCAATTGATTAACTCGAGTAATTGAAACTTTGCTTATTATATTACATTAATATATGCAATACATACTTTAATCAGGAGATTCAATTTTTAATTTAAATGAATTTTGAATTGGGAGAGTAAACTGTGAAACAGTTGTTGATTATACGAATAATGAAGATAAACAAGACAGTCGATAAATCAAGAAATAAAATAATATGTATCCTATATAGGATAGGATATTGTACAAGGAACAATCTATTACACATATACTTAAATTCCTGGAAAACATATCAATTAGGAAAGGATAAAATGATCTAAATTGAGACTCACTGCAGTCACTCTATACATGTAAGCTAGTATACGCACTACTTATTCATACTATAGGATAGGAGATAGAAGGGTGATCGATCGACTGGAAAAAAAGGAGGCGTAATTTCTTTGGACTCGACGTGTCGTGCATCGGGCGACACTTTCGCCGAGCATCGACGATAGTGTTACGTACGCAGGCGCACAGGGTCGACGTTTCTGTCAATTACATAATAAAAAGCGTTATGTAAGGACGAGCCGACTGCTCTACGCATAAAACATGTACCCGTAGCCAGTAACGGTGCTCTCCGTGCTCGACGAAATTGATTCGGTTTGATCTTACAGCGGCGGATACACGCCTTAAGTGAGTGCACCGCCTCCTGAGGTCGACGAGCCACTAACTTTGCCAATTGAGAGTCAACTTCAATTTGTATACTTTATTTAATGCGTGTCGCCTGAACAAGTCTTGAATCAGATTAAAAATAGGGCAAAATTACTAGAGTTCTTTTAATTATTCTTTACATTGTATATTATATATCATATACTGTGTCTCATGTTGCATCTAATAGTAACAGAATCTTTGAAATATGGTAGTAGAGCAAAATACGTAAACTGAAACCCTGTTGCAATAATCTTGTTAATATTGATACCCATTTAGCTTAAACGTTTTTAAGGATCGTTTAGAAACTGCAAATTGGAGATGATAGGTGGATCCGTGTTGAGAATTTATTGCACAATTTAGGAGGAAGATTGAAGGGTAGAGTTAATGAGGCGATTATAGGTTTTCAAGTCCATAGTTTCGAACTCATTTATTCGTTAATTATTGGATATTAAAATTATTTCAT